GAGCTCATAGCCTTACAAAACCATCCTAAAAAATTGACGAGTTTCACCATTTTCATATATCACAAATAACACCAAAAATCACATTCCAATTCAAAATATTTGCAAAGCCCAGTTATATTAGGGATTTGAAGAAATCAAATTGGTCAAACTCGTGTTGAAGAAGAAGCTTCTCTTTGAGCGGCAAATCAAGAAATTGATTCTAGATATGTATAGGTTTCATCAATGGAAGGGTTCACTTCAAATAATGGACGCATATTGATGACAGGCAAAAAAGGAAGTTTTAGTTGCCTTGGCAGGAGAATTATAAGGCAAAAGTTGGGGAATATGGTTAGGGGTTGTAAACGATCGAATCGAATCAAATACTAAACTGTTGGTATAAGTATTCGTTTAAAAATATCGAACGCAAATGCGGACTCTAATATTCATATATCTAGTTTTTCGTATTCGAACTTGAATACTTGGTATTTGATAAATATTCATAAATATTCATGAATATTAATCGAATATAAAAACTTTTTGTTAGATCTAAACATTTCATTTTGTGGGAAATAATTAACTATGCTTATGTTGTGCCCACATTGGAGAAATCCAAGTAGAGCAATGATGGCCAAAGAATATTTACAATGAAGAAGCTTTTGTTGGAATTTTTACTTAATGCTTTTGATTCATCAATTTCTAACAAGCTTGCTCATTTTGAGAGTGCTTACAATTTATGGAAACATATAGAAGCATAACACGACAACTTGAAGGAACTTTAATGCATTCTGGTGGAGTCCACTTCAAGTGATATTGGAGCTTCATCATGCACATGGCCACTAGGCAATAGCCTTAGTAAGATATGTTAGTCCGATTCCGATGATGATTTATCTATTGATGAACTTGCTTGTGCATATGAACGTTTAATGCATGCTTATAACAAATTGCGTCATAATTCTATTGATTTGAAAAGCAAGCATGTAAATTTGAAATCCAATCATGATATGCTAGCATCAAAATTTGATGACATTTCTAAAGAAAATATGATTCTTAAGAACAATAATGATAAATTAAAACAATATCACATTTCTCTTAGCTTAAAGATAGCTAGCTTACCAAATGAGAAACATAATGTCATTTTAGAAGTAGAAACAAGTAGAAATAAATTTAAAAAAACTAAAGTAATGCATATGTGCCTAATAATGAGTTGAATTATAAGAAGAACCTCATTTCATCCTTAGATTCAACGCTTACTACATGCATCGAAAATTACGAGAAACTTGTGAACAAGTATGCTAAGTCATGTAGTACTATTTTCAAATCACATACACACTATGCACAAATGTATAGTAAAATTTATAAATGTACTATTTGCGGCCGTAAAGGCCATATTGCCAAATTTTGCTATGATGCACAAAAACTCAAAAATGCAAATAGTAGTGTTCCATGTGCATCTCACAAAGTTTCTTCATGACACACACATACACAAGCACAAAAAGTTCATCATAAGTATGTAAATGTGTATAAGTGTGATCATTGTGGAAGGTTTTGTTAATTTTGCCAAATTTTGTTTTGATTTGAAAAGAGTTTCTCATATGCAAAATAAATTTGAAAGATAATTTACGTTTGTAAATGTTTCCTGTGCACAATCATAGAAAAGTGAATCTAAGGTGACACCCTAGGCTCCCACCTAAGGACGCGGCCTAAAATCATATTATTTCCTCTCTTTTTTTGCGATCCGCTCCGTTAAACTTGATCTACACGTTCTTAAACCCAAACACACCAATTTTAGGGTGAACCCGTCGTGTTTTGACCCTTTATCCACTCAGTGCAATTTTAACGGTTTCGAATGAATAGAACTTCTTGCACGGCTCAACGAATGGTCAAAACACAACGAGTTCACCCAAAAATTGGTGAGTTTAGGTTTAAGAACGTGTAAATCAAGTTTAACGGAGCGGATCGCAAAAAAAATTTAGGATTAACTTGTTTAAACTTGTTTAAAACTCTTAGGATGTTGATAGAACTGAGGAACAGAGGGGGTTTTATAGAAACGCCAAAGCCAAGAAAAGCCAAGAAAAAGACGCAAAGACCACTGACACGGCTCTGGAAACTAGTCCATTAGAACTGATCTGCAGGGGGCGTGATGGCGGCGGTCGATGCCGAGCTAAACAACAGATACTATGGTCTGGAGAAGGCGGTCGCATAGAAGTCTCTGGAGCTGGTAGGTAGACTGGCCGTTGATAGTGAGACAACAAAAGCAATTTTAGTTCAGAACTCATGGCGGTGATCGTTGAGGGATGGGCGGCGATCGGCGGTCGAAGCCGTGATGATACTCAGAGAAAACAAGTTTTGAAGTTGAATGCTGATTTAGAAACTGTTAAAATAATCAAATACTTCTAAAAATGTGAACTTTGGAAGATGGATTGTAGACATGATAAATAACATGATAGGGATGATGGTTTTCCAAAAGGAGATTCCCAAATGAAAATATGCATTGGTTTTAATAATAGGGTAAGCCATGAAGTGTAAAAATGTAATTTTTGAACATTTTGGCTAGAACTATATTTTGAAAACTTTGCACGATAATTATGTGAATATGAAATATGTATATATAGTTGTTAAGTCCAAAACTAAGAATACTATATTTACAAATATTAATAGAAAATGAAAGCATATGGAATAGTGTATACGTAAATTATTTGTTTCATGATTAAGTAGTTAAAGCCAAAATACAATAAATAAATATGAATATTGGTAATTTTCATATTTCTAAACATGAAGACCCAAAACGGCATGCATGGTATATTATAAAAATTAATGATATATATACATGTGAAACAAATATGTGTGTGTATATGAATATTGAGTAGAAGTATCTAGAATAATATAAAACTAAACTAGAAGTTATCAGCTAGATCTTGATCTTCAATAGCTGACTTGGTAACTTGAGGATGAACTTTGACCTGATATTTAATTTGAATTGCGTAGGCTTACTCCAACAATTCGCCAACCCATTGGATATGATCGTTGTGGCGGCATCGTGATGCCTGCAACTTGTTGTTTGCCTAGAAATAATTGAACACAAGCCCTGACAAATAAGTATTAGATTGTGAATTGGTTTGTAAATCACGTCAAAAAAGGCCAACATATTGTAGTAGTAATATTGTACTATATATATAATATCTTATATATATAGCTATAAGTTATATATATATATATATATATATATATATATTATTATATTATTATTATTTATATATATTATATAATATATATCTTATATATAAATAATCATAATA